TTCATCAAAATGACAATCCATAAAACGTGCGATAAAGAGATCACTTGTCAAGGGCTCCAAGTAGCGAATAATTGATAGCAAATCATAACTGACATGGATTCCCATTTTTCTCTGAGGACCCATTTTGGTATGTAGTGGCAATGCTACTGGCACATAGACTGCACATCCAAACACTTGTAAATGCGAGACGCCAGGCTCATCCAGTAACCAATTGTAACGGTGAATAAGGTTGGGTAGTGGTGGGCCTCATGCGGACCAGCATAGCTACCTACAATATTGCATAGCTCCAGGCAGATACCGATAGTTTTGCTCGCATAACCAAAGTCCAAGCTATCAATTGAAGGTACTTTATGAAAGCTTCTGCTAGGCCATTTTGGGTGTGAACATGGGGGTACAAGATGTTTGACTTCAATCCTAACTGACATGCAATAATCATCAAAAGTCTATGACCCAAACTCTCTAGCATTATCCAGTTGAATTGACTTGATCGGATAATCAGGGTGGTGAGCCTTAGCTTCATAATTTGTGCTAGGAGTTTTGCAAATGCAGCATTACGTTTGGACAATAAGCAGACATGTGACCAACGTGTCGATGCATCAACTAACACCTTAAAGTATCTAAATGGTCCTCATGTTGGTTGGATATGTCCACAAATATCCCCTTGAATCATCTAAAAAAACTTAGGAGGTTGTGAATAATCTTTATAATCGAGGGTTGAGTATTCAACTTCCCCAAAGAACAAGCTTTGTATGGCGGAAATCCAACGTAGGGAGGTAAATGATGTCTATGTGATGATTTGAGGATATGGTGTATCATATCACGTCCAGGATGTCCCATATAGTCATGTCAAAGTAGCAAAGTGCTCTGGATTTTAGGCACAAGGCTGGCCACATGGTGGGCTTCTATGCCGCGAATGGTTGTGATGTACCACCCCCTCAAGAGACGTTCCAACTTCTCGTGAATATGCTTCTGGCCATACTCGTAAGAAGTGATACAAAGAAATTCAGAACCATTCTCTTCAGTGGTTTCAATATGATAGTGATTATCTCGAATATCTCTAAAACTCAGCAACATTCTTCTGGAATGTGGAGAATATAGGGCCTCTTTAATGGTTAAGACAATACCATTAGACAACATGATAGGGCTTATCCTTTAATCAAGTTAGATGATCCTGAGAGAGTTGTTAGAGGTGCTTTCTTAGGTACGAAGTTAGTAAAATAGTGTCGCTCACGCAATATAGTATACCTAGAAATAAATTGATTGAATTGGTCACATGCATAAATATAATTCCATTCATTCAATTAATCAATTCGAGAAATAATAGCCATAAAATAATTATCCATTGTTCAAAACAAACCAAAACCAAACAAATTATTCCAAATACTTAGAAAAATTGTCCAAAATTTAAACCATAAACCTAAAATTAAAAGGGGGGGGGGGGGCATCCGGCCATTAGGGGTAAAACACCCTAAAAACATGTCTAGAAGAATAAAACTTATTCGTCCATAGGAGATGATGCCTCCTTAAAATCTGATATCTCCATAGATGTAATAACATCTTTGAGATGTTCTACCTGGGCAAAGTTAGACCCACGACAAGAATGATACTTGGCAATGGCCTTAAGGGTAGCTCTACATACGCATGACCAATGACCATTTAATCCACAGCAGTAGCATATGACCATTTCAGTGGAAACCGAATGAATGGTAGCTTTTCCCTTGTTGTTAAAGTCTAGGGCCTTAGGGGCAAGCGGTTGGTGCTTTTGGGTCAAATTTCCTCCATTGGGAGGGCCTTGGCTCTGTTGACCTTGGGCCCACGGTTGGGCTTCCGCCATTGCCACGATCACGATGATTCTTTCGTAATTTGTGGCGGCTAGAATTGGTCACAAGCATTTCAGGCGTAGCGTTTGAGCCACTGGGTCAATCTTAATGATTCTTCATTAAACACTCGTTCTGCTTTTGACCGAGAAGTAAAACAGAGCTCAAATCCAAAAATTTGGTGAACTTATGTGCCTTATATTATTGTTGCAGGACAATATTGGTGGCATGGAAGGTCAAATAGGTATTTTCCAGGAGATCTGCATCTGTTAAGTCCACTTTACAGAACTTAACTAGTGATTGGATTCTACAAACTTCAGAGTTATATTCATTCACGGACTTAAAGTCTTTGAAGCATAGATGGTGCCAGTTGTGTCTTGCTTCAGGCAATTAAATGTCTTTTTGGTAATCGAAACGGTCGACCATAGCAAGCCAGAGGGCGTGTGGGTCCTCCTCAGCGAGGTACTCAGTCTGCAATGCATCATGGATGTGTCTTCGAATGAAGATCATTTCAGTATCTTACTGAGCTTCCTCGACAAGGTTGGCGTCGGTAGGTGCCTCGATGGTGGCTCTAATACTCTTTCAGTAAGAACCCACTTCAGGTAATTTCTTCCATATACTTTTGGAGTGGTGAAATCAAGCTTGTTCAAGTTCGACATGTCCCTAAAACGGAGGGTACAACAAAACTTAGTTAGTCATATGGTAATACATAGACATACATCGTAGAACATTTGAGTTCTATAGACATGTATTGGTTTAATTTAAACATGAAAGCTATAGGTTTCATGTGGTAAGTTTCTAAATGAAAACTTCAGGTTTCAAAGGCACTAAATATGAAACTACTAGTTCAATTTAGTTTTATGAACGATTAGTTCACAAAGGAGAGGTTCTTGCAAGAACATAGAATGCAATATGCTGATTAAAGTGCAGTGGATTTGAGTTGCTTCAGGAACTCAAGTATGAGAGCTTCAGGACTACAAAAGGATGTCAACAGTTCAAAGTATAAAAATAAATTATTAAATCGTTAATGTCCAAAAATGATCTTCAGGTCAATAATTTTGGATTAATTATCAGATTAATGGACTGCATGTCACTTTTAATTAATCCAATAGATCTAGATCAAATGGAGTCGATCGTGGAAACAAAATAATAACAGACGGGTCATATTTTAGTTGGTGATAAACCAAGTTATATAATTAAATTGGAATTAATTAGTGTAAAGAAAAGTACCACAAACAAACATTTGGGCATGGTTTATAACGCGGGGATGCCAACAAATTGGCGTTAGGTCGAAAAAAATAATACGGCCTAGCCAAAAATGGGCTGGTATCTACAGGGAGATAGGCCCTGCAGCACGGCTGCAGGCTATTGGGCCATAGGAGGGCTGTAGGCCTCTGGGCTATGTGGTATGGGGAGCCCAGCAGCAAAAAGTTACTGGTTTAGGCCTAAAATCTGTGCACGAGGCAAGCCCAGCCCAAGGCTGGCTTGCGGGTTAGTGCGAGGAAGCCCATCGAAGTTGGGTTTTGGGTCTTTAGGTCCAGACATGTCAAGCCCATCAATGAAAGCTACGGGCAAGTAGGTTGAGGCATGGGCAAAGCCTAGCAAGCGACATGGGCTTGCTGCGGACAGCCTAGGGCCCATGACTAGGCCTAGCAATACACGGGTTGCTGGTGATGGGCCATGGGTACAAGGGTAGAGACCAGCAAACGGCTGCAAGCCATGCTGGTAGATGGGCTAGAGCTGCAGGCCCAATCCAAACCAAACCCAGGCCAATGAAGCTGGGTTGTCTTTGCTCGTGGCAAACCCAAAAAGTTGCAACCATGTGTCAGACGTAAAAATGACGTCGTCTTGGTGGCGTGCTCGACGCGGCCAGGTTGCAGGCTAGTGCAAAGGTCGGCGGTGATGTCACGGTGGTGGTGTGGTGGCCGTGCCGCATAATTCCCAGAATTTCTTTTTCTCGACATCTCTAGGGTTTGAAAAACCCTAAATTGCTTCTAATTTATTTATATGCTTTGACTCACAAATTCCACATAGAAAAAAATTGCGTAATGCATGAAACGTGTGTGTGTGTGTGTGTGTGTGTATTGACAAATATATGAATCATATATAATATATATATCGGAAGGAAAATATAAATATAGGGGGTTCATGCATCATGGGGAATGTTTTCAATGTTCGTGGACTTTTCAAATATCTTATTTTATCTTATTAAGTGTACTTGATTGGTAGAAAACAAATAAAAGCCCTTGAATTTTGTAGAAGAGAGTCTCCTCCTACAATCATTCAGTTCCTTAGCTTATGGCAAGAGCGTACTGATAACTTGTTGTAGGCCTATTTGACCGAACTATTCTAAGGTAATAGAGAGGGGAAGGCCGGCAACAATACGAGAGAGAAGAGAGAGATTTAATTGTGAGGTGTCTATTGTATCATCCCATTGTGTCTTTATTTATAATAGTAGGATATGTTAAATCATTACCCTTAAAGGATTACATCTCTAATAGGATATTATCTACTAAAGAGAATATTTAAAAATATCCTTAAATACACTAGGATTAACACAATCGCATTATTCTAAATATGACTGCAACAATTTGTTCTGAAATTATTATATTGTATAATTATTAGCTCAATGAAAGGGTCTAACTAATATTATTATTTGGATTAAAAGGTGGCCGAGTATGCATTTCACATTGGAAAAGTTATCAAACGGTTTCCCAGGATAAAGGAATACTGCAAGTCTTTTGGAAGACTTACAAAAGGGGTCTTATAGCCCCGCTTTTTTGTTTTTATATATATCGTTTATTAAGAGGGATTGTTAATAGCTGAATTTGAACATAGATTTTGGTCTAGCAAAGAGAACGATCCTTACTAACTCAATCGACTTTTTGTTGGCTCTTTTTTCTCATCCTTTGATTTGTTAACAAAACTTGCATATATTATTAATTACCAGGAATCTCGATTAATGTTAAGGATGCCACATATATACACTACATCACCATATAATGTAGCAAGTGATACAACACCTAGCATTTAATTAGATAAACTCATTAATTGAGGCATGTAATTATCACTTGTCAAAACAAATCGTACAGCAACATGGTATATGTGGCTTCTCTAACATTATTTGGAAATCTAATTATTAAGAGAATAAAGCATATCAGATATGTGAGAAATTAAGGAAAATTTGGGAAATGTATTTATTTTATTATTATTATGATCACCTTTCCATGGAAGGTTGAAACAAACGACATACATATACCATCTCTTTCAAGAAACAGGAAATCAAATACATGAAGCATGACTGCCCTACAACTGTCTAATATTACAAGGAAAGGAAATATGTGAACCTTAACGAATATCGCATAAATAAAACACGTTACATCAGCAGCTGCGTGGAGACTCGTTTTTTCTTTCTCTTCTTCTTTGTGTGGTGATAAGGCGCGCTGTTCGACTTCGACATCCCCTTTCTTTATTCTGACCTTTCTTCTTCCCTTACCTGGAAAGATATATTACTGTTACTTGTTAGGTCTCTATCATTGGTCTATTTGTTACACATGAGTACTACTAAATATCAAGAAACCTTAATTGAGTAATGGCGATATGATGGAAATGCATTAAGCATGCATATACCAATAGGGATTATTAGCCAAAAAATGAAATAAACACTAGTGTATTATAATTTTATGGCTAGGGAAATGTTTTTTTGTCAAATTTCTATGGACCAAAAACTTCTTTATTCTATTCATACAGCTTCCCAGACAAATTACTCAACTTGGACACAATGTCCAAGTCAGAATCATTCCACTCCTCATCGACTGCATGCAGTTGTATGGATTATGAATCTAAAAACATAGAATGGAGAAGCGTACCATCTGGATGCAACTAATTTCTCGATATCTAGTAGTGGTGAGGAGGTGGGGGTGTTGAATAGATGTAAGCGGGTGGTGGGTGAGCTGCTGGAGGAGTTGGTGGCTTGTAAGGTTTAATTGGTGGTGGTGGTGGTGAGTGAACTGGGTGGTGAGGCTTCTTGTGTGGTGGTGGGGGTGAGTGCACCGGGGGGTAGGGCTTCTTGGGTGGTGGTGGAGGAGACTTGTGATGGTGAGGTTTCTTGGGTGGTGGTGGGGGAGACTTGTGATGGTGATGTTTCTTGGGTGATGGTGGAGGAGACTTGTGATGGTGATGTTTCTTGGGTGGTGGTGGTGGAGATTTGTAGTGGTAAGGCTCCTTGGGTGGTGGTGGGGAGTGAACTGGATGAGGTGGTGGGGAGTGAACTGGATGAGGTGGTGGTGAGTGAACTGGATGAGGAGGTGGGGAGTGAACTGGATGAGGTGGTGGTGAGTGAACTGGATGAGGAGGTGGTGGGGGAGATTTGTAGTGGTAAGGCTTTGGTGATGGTGGTGGTGACTTAGGGTGGTAGGGAGGAGAAGCCGGTGGTGGTGGAGATGAGTCAGGGTGGTTAGCTGAAGTTTTTGAAGGCAATGTGAGAGAGACTATTGCCACTAGGAGAGTGACCACAAGAGAGGTCACTTGTGAAGGCCCCATTTTCCCCTTTTTTTTTAAAGAATGGGATTTTGGTTTTCTGCCTCTTAAGCTAAGCCTCTTCGTCCTTTATATAGCTTTGGTCTTTACCCTTAACACCACGGTAATCATGCCAAATTTTACTTGCAATTATTAATTATCTTAGTGAAAAACAAGATTAATGTTAAAATAAAACTATGGGGCCAGACTATTTGAATAGATTATCAATTAATGTTTGGATCAATGAGGCCTTTGACTGAATTTTGTTAAGCCCTTCTTTTTTTTTAATATCTTGCTTCATGGAATCGATGGTTCATCTATTGCCCTGAGTAATATTAAAAAGAGGACGTAAATATAATGTAAATATCAAGAATCCTTTATTAGGAATGATATATGTTTGTGTCTTTTATTGACTATTGTTTCCTTATGGAATAAGGATTGTATCTTGTATATATTTTCAGTTATGTAATACAATGAGAATTAAGCAGTAAAATTCTATTTCATTGTGAACATAGATAATAATAAATAAATATAGAGATATAATTCTCACACACTCTTTTATTTGTGGTGCACATCTTTGTTTAATTTTAGCATTTAAATTGAATAAAGAAAAAAAACTAAAAACAAAAAACAAAAAAATCAAGAACTTGCAAAAATCATTAACCATTTCCCTAAACCTATCACCTAAGGTATGATTATTTTTACTATAATAAGGTTTAGTTTAATGCAATAAGAGTACGTAGCAGAAAGGATAGCTAACAAGAGATGGAGCTTTATTTCTAGGTTAATAATATAAACACAAAGTCTTCACTGAATTTGTTTATAAAATATTTTTCGTGATCGACATCGTTGAAAACCGTGTATGGTTACCTAACTTTCCATGATTCTTACTGAGATGAGGGACCAGTCGGCTGCGAGACTCAGACCACTCTTTCTCTCTCTCTCTTTCTCTCTCTCTCAAATAATCCAGATTTTAGTACGTAGTCGGTCACATTCACCATTTTCATAGCTCTTAACTAATTGATTCGAATATCTCTGACTGTGAAGGTTTAGGATACAAATATTTACGATCCCATTTGCCTAATGATACAAGTTTTAACTAAATATTCATTTCCAAATACGAGTGATCTTTCATTGTGTAGTGAATGCTAGCTAGAGTTGTCTTGCTAGTTGTTCCAAACAATTACAACAAATTAAGAAGGAATAAAGAATGAAAACAAATAAATAAAAGATGCTTAAATGCTTTATTAACATGTTTAACTAGACTTAAATCACATTATATTAATCACCCCAATAATGTGAAAATCCTTCCCAAGTTCCACCTTCCCAAGTTTACCAAAAAATAAAATCCGCTTTACATCAATCAACATGCACGGTGAGCTGTTCATATAACATATATTTTTGTACAATCATTAATCATATTAGTAATTACTCTCCAAACAGCAGTACTAGGGATGGCTTTAACTAGTGAAGATCTGATTCGTTGACACATTTACGTCCTCGTCCAAAAGCACATTAACTAATTTTGATGTATAAAAAGAAAAAGTTTTTAATTAAAATTATGGTATTTGAGATTGTCATAACTATTCACTTTAGTTTTTGTGATTGAAAATCGATAAATGTGGCTCCTGAGTTTGTACACCATAAATCATTTTGATCATTCAGTAAAATATGTGTCAACATCACCTTTGAATTTTCACGTGAGTGACCATGTAACCTCTTTTTAAAGGTATTTTTTGTCAAACCAACCCCTTTTAACCAAAATGGTTCCTGAGATCAACATAACTCTTCATTTTGGTCCTTAACAATGAAAATCGATAGAAATAACCCTTGAGTTTGTCCATCGCAAGTCATCTTGTTCATTCTTTGAATACTCTGTCAATATCCTTGTTAAGTGGAGGGGCTAATTGATAAAAATACATTCTAAAAGATGATCATGCGGTTGCTTACGTGACAATTTAACGAGAATATTGACAAATTTTTCACAATGACCAAAATGATTTGTGATTGACAAATTCAGGAACAACATCTATCAATATTCATTGTTAGTGACCAAAATGAGGAGTTATGCTAATCTCGACCATTTTGGTTAAAAGAAGCTAGTTTGACAAAAATACTATTAAAAAGGTTGTCTTGTGGTTGCTTATATGACAATGGGTTATTATACAAAATGGTCCCTGAGATTTGCATGATCAATAGAAATGGTCCATGAGATTGTCCACCATCCATGATTTTGGTCATTCCGTTAAAAACTCTTTGGGCAATTTTCAAAACTTCGTAACTTAATCGATTCTTAACCAAATTTGACCCATAATATATCAAAATGAAGATAAGAATATGTAGAACAAAATTATATCTATTTGGAAGCCTAATGATTGCTGAAGATGGCTGGAAAATAGCCTGAAAGGTGACTAGTTCGTGGGAAAACTGGGAAACTCGCTGGAAACTGGGTAAACTTAAAACATTCATAACTTCTTCAATACTCAATGAAATCAAGTGATTCAAAAACGAAAATCATACTTTGAGCCGTTGTTCGACCAAACTACGGTGAGTTAGCCTTCGAAAAGGGTACCAATCTCTTCGTCTCGTCAAGAAGTATTATTTTTATTTTTGAATCACTTGATTTGGTTGAGTATTGAAGAAGTTATGAATGTTTAAAGTTTACCCAGTTTTCGGCGAGTTTTCCAGTTTTCTCGCGGACCAGTCACCTTTCAGGCTATTTTTCAGCCATCTTCGGCAACCATTGGGCTTCTAATGGTATAATCTTATTCTACACTTTCCTATCTTCATTTTGATATATTATGGATCGAATTTGGTTAAGAAATGATTGAGTTACAAAGCTTTGAAAATTGCCCAAAATCGTTTTTAACGGAAGGACCAAAATCATGGATGGTGGACAATCTTAGAGACCATTTCTATTGATTTTCAATCTCAGGGACAATTTCTATTGATTTTCAATTTTAGTGACCATTTCTATGGATCATGCAAATCTCAGAGACCATTTTGCATAATAACCCTATGACAATTTAACGATGGTGTTGACAGACTTTTCACAAATGGACCAAAATGATTTACGGTTAACAAACTCAGGGATCACTTCTATCGATTTTCAATTTTTGGGACAAAAATAAAGTGTTATACCAATCTCTAAGACCATTTTGATTACAAAACATAAAACTAATGAAGAATATTTTGGTATAATGCTCACACCATTTAATAACTGACTCACTAGTGGCCCTCTACAATGATGGTAGAGAGGAGTGGTACCCTTGCAACACGGTGTAGATTCGAATCTCGTCGATTTCTTAATCTAATATCTAATTAATAAATTTATTGTTTGACAAAAAAAAACAAAACAAAACTTACTCATTCGTTCATATTATAACGCATAAACTATAACATATGACCGATTATTACAAGGAGAACGACACAAACTAATATTTTTATCGGTCACCTTTTCCTTTATTTTCTGTTTATGTTTTTTTAGCATCTATAGTACACCATACGTGTAGAATAACACCGAAGTTGGTACCAATTCGAAAAGTGTCTGAACCAATGAAAAGAAAATTTTAATTGTTAAAATGATTACTCGTTGTTATATAATCTACGTCGTTATTTGATTTACTTTGAAATAATTTCCTATTTCATATGTACTTTGTTTCGTTGGCAAGTACAAAACTAGACTAACAGGTTGACCCGTTAACATAGTTCGTGAAATAGTTAGGTTTCAGTTGAATGTTAATATAAAAAAAAAAATTTCGTTAACGGATGAAATAGTTGGCCCAATAACCAAACAAGTCATTTTGGGTCAACCATTTTTACCATAAGCTAATGGATTAAGTTTGAATGACCCATGACCACTACGTTTTACCATTTGCGCGACGAAACAAAGTTTGTTCCGTAGAGTGCATTTTTGTCGCACGAACTTCAGCACGACAGAAACTTCGTCGTGCAGAATCCGTCACTCAAAGATCGTGAAAAAAAGACTTTGCGTGACGAAAAACATCATTGGTCGCAAAAACATGGCGTGACGATTTAACCTTCGTCACACAAAATACCAAGATAAATACATGGGACGACAATTATTCATCTCTCTAAACTTTGAGCGACGACAGTTTATTATTGTGTAACAAAAGCATATTTGTTGCTTGAGGTTTGCCAGACGAAGGTTTTCGTCGCGCAAAAAATAAAAATAAAAAATTTTAAATTTAATTTTACGTTCTGTTTTTTTTATTTTTATTTTTTTGTAAAAAAATTAAATTTCAATTTAAAAATATAATGAAGAGAAAAATAATATATTTAAATTAATATAAATGTAAGTATTATGTACAAGAAAAATGTTTAAAAAGTAAACAGGTAAAAAACTAAGAAAATAATGTGGCGTAATCTAACAGGTCATCATTAGGAGGCGGCTAGAAGGTCTCGAGGTTGTGGATGGGCTCAGAGGTCGAAGGGGTGGAGGTGTGGGCATGCTCGAGTTAAAGGGGCTCAAATGTCAACGGGGACGAAGATTCAAGAGACGAATGTCGGACTGATTGAGGGCTTGTACAATCTGTGACATCTAGCTCCTATACGAGGCGAGCTCAGTCCTAAGGTCAACCACCTCTACTGTCAAAGCTATCACCTAACTCTTTGACTGCGATGATGAAGGGGTTCTAGGTTCCTGCCGCTAGGCATTCCCCATCCCCCTACAATATGTCCTTGTCCTCCACCCGAAAGTCTGATCCATGTTCTCCGTAAGGATCTGAAACCTTACATTCTGTGAGGAATCCACAAACTGGAGGGGAGTCTCTGGAGGAAGCTGGGAGGCAAACTCCTGAAGAACCAATTGCCTCTTCTCCATCATCGTCGCCTATGTAATATAACATCAAATATTAATTATAATATTCATATAATAACCATTAAACTTGAATGCGTAAGATAATAATTAAAATTGAAGAATACTTACATGAAGGGACTCGGCCAACTCATCCCCGGGTCGAACATAAACGTTGCTAAAGAATTTTTTCAATGTTAAAGGGTATTTAACATTTGATAGCTTCGTATCATGTAATACGCTGTCTCCAGTTAAACAGTTCTCTTTGTATTACTCATTAAGATGAATGTGTGCTCCATACCTAATGTTTATAACTCCAACCACAGTCCTTATTTTCATGCCTTTAATGACACCCTTACTTGTCGTCCTTTATAAAACTATCTAAAAAAATTTCAATTTACATGGATGTATACAAGTTTTTACCCGAAGTTTAATTATTTTTATTTTATTTGGTATTGCTTATGCTTATCACCTTTTGCGGTATACAGTTTCTACTGGGGTTGTGTTTTGGCCTCTTTTTAGTAGGTTTATTACTTTTTTGGAGAAAATACGTTGTAGTCATGTGACGCCGTAAGGGCCTGGTATTCATGTCTTTTGATTGTCCATCAGATATTTTTGTGTCAACTCTAGAGGTACGATGTCACCTCAATACAATAAGCTTGGGTATTAAAGATAATTGTGAGAAGACTTTGTATGGAAGAGTTCTTTGTCATTATGATTTGTTTCTATTAATATGAAGTTAATTCATGGCCTTCAGATTCTGAAATAAGTGGAAAATGAATTTAAAGGTTGCAATAAGACTAGTAATTCAGTACCGTTGATACAGTTTATGAGTATTGTTTATGTTGTAGAATCCAAGGGAACTGCAGAACTGGAACATACTATGGTCGCATCTTTCTAACTTCTATCATTTTTCTCTAGCTTTCTTCCTTGCTTTCAGATTTAGGACTTAACATCCATGAAGCACATGTCTTCTCGACAACTGATGGCTACTCTTTAGATGTGTTTGTGGTGGATGGATGGCCTGTTGAGGTAGATTTCTTCTACTATATAACGTGTTTATCATCATCCAATGTTCACTTTCTACCGTCAGAGTTTTGTACCTAGAAATTCTATGCATTAACAATATTATAAATGAGTAATGTCCAATACACAGAAACATTGGATGACTTTTCTTAAAATATATGTTGCTACATTACGCTTAATTGTTTGTTTCTTTAAAGGTCTCTTTTTGTTGGGTTATGGGTTCGCTATACTGCAAGCTGTTAATGGCTTTGATTTTGTATGCATGGATGAACGCTTTTTAGTCAGTGTTATCTCTGATCTATTCTATGGCACTATTACAATGATTTTCACTTTACGAAACATTGTATTTGATGCATCCCAACGTTTTTGTTATAAATACTGAGTTTTTGAAAAAACTACAGTTTTTCCAAGGAAAGTGTCTTCGGGATACATCAAGGGGAATTGCGAATATATTTCTTACATGACAAGGAACTGCGTTGAGTTCAAATGTTGCTGACTTTGCAATGTTGTGGTCAGGATGCAATTTGTCTATAAGAAGCTATGGAAAAGGCAATTGCTAGTAGTGAGGTAAATTGCATCACATCGTTAAGATAATCGAAGAATAATAAGATAGTAATATGTATCTGTTGTTTGGTAATTTAGGGGTCATGGTCAAGATCTTCACATTCTCATTCGGCTGTGGAGAATGCATTATCGGTCAAAGAAAAACTGGGAAGCTGGGAAATAGACCGAAGATTATTAAAGATAGGAGACAGGATTGCATCTGGGTCATGTGGAGATTTGTAAGATGTGTTTTATTTCTGGCATTCCTTTATTCGTATGTAGTCCCTTCCGCAGCTTAACTTTATATTGCTGTTCATTCTTAGGTATCGTGGAATTTATCTTGGTCAAGATGTTGCTGTTAAGATTTTGAGATCTGAACATTTGAATGACACTCTAGAGGATGAGTTTGCTCAAGAAGTGGCAATTTTAAGGTGAATAATTTTCTAGCTTTATCCTCCCTTTGATCTTGGCTGGTCCCTGCTAGGGAATTCATATGCTTACCAAATCTATTGAGATCTCTTCTCCACTTGTGAAGTTTTAAAGATCTTCCCATCAGTTTCTCCCAATGAATTTAGATTATAAGGGATAACATTCATTGTCCTAATTCTGGTAAACAGTTGGTTCAAGTAGAACAAGGATAGGAAAAGGGATTTTGGAAGGTTACAGCTTTAGTTTCTTTCCACTCTTTTTGTCCTAAGCATCAATGCAATCCTTTAATCCGAACTGTTTATTTTTTACGACCTCATTCAAGAATCATTCTTACTAAAAATCAATGAAATCGGATGGTTTCCACTTTCCACTGATATCGGTGGAGCAAACCAATTTTTCATTCTAAATTTTCGAAATTTTTTGTTAGAATCAAGTGAAGTATTGATGGAACTAAAAATATCTTTTTGGAACATACTTGTACTTTGTTGATACTGTTAAGCATTGGAGGCGCTAATGCTTTTTCTCTTGAGTATGCAGCATTTAGGAAGATTTTGTTGTGCGTTTTATATTTTAAATTCCTCTCAAGTTGTTTGGATGTCATGCGTATTGGAACTACCAATTAGTGTAATGTCACTCAGACAGGCTTTGGCAACTTCTTGTATATTATGAAGCTTCATGAGGGTTAGGAGTAGAAGGATGTAGATCATTCATGAGATGGAGTTCGTTTTGGGATTACCTTTGGGTGCTGTTTGTTGAGGGTTTAGGGACAGTTCTTGGCAGCTTACCTTTCATGGTTAGAAAGATGTTGTATTGTAGATTTCATCTTGATTTCTTGATGTAAAACTTTACTGTTTAGATCCATTTGTAGTTGTAAATGAGTATAATTAGTCCAGCGACAACTTGTCGCTATATTGTACTGTTCTTTGTCTGCTAATGAAAGTATGGTTTTCATAAAACAAAAAAAAAAAAAAAATATATATATATATATATATATATATATATATATATAGGGATTGAGATGTATACCATAAGAAACTATGTCAAGAGCACTTTCAGTATTTTCATCGAGATAATGGTTCAGGAAAGAAAAGCTACACTTGTTAATTTTCTTCTCTTTTGCAAAAGAAGAAAAATGTCTTGTTTGTAATGGATGCTAAAAATTATGTCACGAGTACATCTTTGTTTGGTTGTTTGTTTCTTTTTGGTTTTTGTGTAAATCCATGTAGCATATAGCAACTTCATAAAGAATGTAAACAGGATTGGGACGGCATTTCAGAGAGGATAAGCTAGGAAGTTCTACAGTTATGAGGCTGGTTCATCATCTTCCAATTAAGAATGAAAAAGGCTCACATGGTGATTGTAGGTCTCCAATTTCATTTGAGAAGTTGGTCCAGTTTCAAGTGTTAATCGCAGCCATTCATCATCAGGTTACCTTAAAATGGCACCAAGAGCTAGGGAACATTTTGGTTGGCAGTAGACTATTTGGTTCAGGAGTTTAGCTTCATTAACCCTGGTTGTTTTAACACAATTCCCTCCTTCAATTGGTCCAGTGATCATGTTGAAATTAGTTGTGGCTCACTTGAACAAGTCAGAATGGTACCAAGGCTTAGGGCAGTTCTGTATGTTAAAGTGCTTTGGAAATTATGGGCTTTATCCTTTAGATATGGCTACCACTCTTAATCATATAACTCATATGCATATTACTGTACCTTTTCTTTTGTTGTCTGATGTTTAGAGCTACATGTTCTAGTAGTAAGTGCCTCTCTCTCTGCTTCTACCATTGGAAGTTGTTTTAACTGCACATGCGTTTAACCTCCCTTTTCCACTCTTCTGTCGTTTTTTTCCCTATCTTATGAAATTTCATATGGTTTTTTTCTTCTTGCAGAGTATATGCTTGGTGGAAGTCTATACGATTATTTGCATAAGAATCATAACATCTTGAAGCTTTCAGAACTGCTAAAGTTTGCAATTGATGTCAGCAAAGGAATGGAGTATTTGCATCAGAATAACATAATTCATAGGGATCTGAAGACAGCAAATCTGCTAATGGACACTAAGAATGTAAGAATTAAAGGTTATTGTTAGCTTGTTTACACAAAATACAAATTTAACTACATTCAGCTTTTTCTCTCCAAAAAAAAAACAAAAAGAACTCTAACCATATATTCTACTTAACCTTGAATAAAAAGCCAACAAAAAGTCTTAGTCACATTCAGGGCTAGTTTAGTATTGTTATGCTTAAAAAAAAAAAAAACCTGTTTTTGATGTACTGTGAGAATAAACATCTATAAAATGAACAGTAAAGTGTTTGTAAACTCTAGATGTAAAAGTGTTTTTAGCAAAAATTACTGTGACAGTATAAAATGACCAAAATGGATATGGTGGGGATGTGATGTTATCATATTTATCTTTATTATTTTTTTTCCCACAATCCTCAATTTTCTATTTTCTTCGTTACCTCTGTCTTGCTTCTCTCCCAGCAATCCATGGCTTTCATCCACACTTCCAAAAATAAAAGATCCAAAAAAAAAAAAAAAAAAAAAAAAAAGAGAAAGCGAAGCCAAGGACGGAATGAGTGCCAGAAAGCATGTCTGATTCGATATAATTCATGCATTGAAGTAAGCCAGAGACTGCGTCCTTTCAAGGTCAATAAGATTCGCGAGTTTGTATTCTCCTACAATTTGATTGAATTTAAACCTCTTTCAATTTTGATTGAATTTAGCGTCCACTAATTTCTCGACTGGGAGAGATTGAGTTGGGAGCCTCGGAGACAAGGAAATACGTTTGATGCGCAGAAAGGGGGGATGGAGAGGGAGGGTAGGATTGCCATATTAAAAATGTCATCAATGACTACTATTCACTTGTGTTTTGGTAAAAAAAAAAAAAAAAAAAAAAAAAAAAAAAAAAAAAAAAAAAGGTTTTTGAAAGCAGCTAAGAGCTGCTTTCGTTTTTTTTTTTTTGCTTTGAATGGTCGTGATTTTGGAAAAAAAGAAAAAAAGAAAGCTAGGTTTGCTTGAGTTACCAAGCATAAATTGGATGCAACGATCACCAGATTTTGGTGGGGCTAGGGGTGGGCACGGTGCGGTTCGGTACAGTTCCACCCCTAAACCGGAACCAGAACCTTAAAATAGCAATGATTCGATTCGGTGCAGTTTCACTTAAATTTATTACTAGAACCGTACGGTTCGGTCTAGACTGCTTCTTATTCCGTTCTTGCCGGTTTATGGTTCCGAATACTAAATTATTTGAACACCAAATCATCATACATTCAAATACATCTTCTAAAACTGATTCTATAAAGTTGCAACAAATCCAACACAAGCGACCACTTGCAAGTTCCAACAGAACATACCCACGAGAAGTAATCGTTGGAACTGATATTTACCCCCAAGACGATAAAACCCAAAAGTGAAAATGACAGCATTTGCATCTTCCACCATCTGATATGTGCAACCTCTTTGACTTGTCAATTGTTTCACGTTCACCCAGCCTTACCAATTACCTCATTGAACGAAAGTACTACCCAACCAAAGGGAAATGCAAGACTTCAAATCTATGGCGTGTAAATGACGACAATAATGGTAAACATAAGCTAGGAGTCCCAAAGGAAGCGACTTATTTTATTTTAGGTCACAGTTACACACAATTGACAATAATCCCAAAACAACACCACATTGATAATGCTTTAAACCAACCCGCCAATTGCAATAAAATTCTAAGTCATTTCCAATATCATCAAATTACTGATTTTTCTCTTAGCCGACAATAGAATAGTGAACTATGTATCTATACCTGATCAATGTGACCAAGAACCTCTTCTTTCTTTGTAGCCTCATCTTTGTTCTCATAAAGCCCGGAATCAATCAAGAACTGCCAAAATCAATACAAAACAGTGAACTATATATCTAGAGAATTGGACACTAAAACAATGAACTATATATCTACCAAAATTATAAAGCCACGAATCAATCAAGAACTACCAAGATCGATCGAGTCTAGAAACTTAGCATCATCAAACTTTGTCACAAAAGAATTGGACGTTAATACACAATAGAACTTCCCAATTGATTCAACCTCTGATTCTGCTACATCATTACTTAACTAACAAAACATATGAAGCTCAAAACAAAACAACAGTCAGAAAACAACAAGTTGCAACCGAGCCAGTTCGCAATCAAAAACAGGGAAATTCACGTAATCCAAGGAGGGAGGACGGAGGACGAAGAGTCGTGAGTTGTCATGGATGAGGGATGTCGAGGCTCGTCGCAGAGAACAGAGGTTATAAGCTACCTAAGATATCGCAGAAATTCTGGATGAGGGCCATGAGTAGGTTGACCGGCTGAGCGACATTGGGGGAAGGGGGGGGTCTGATGTAAGGCAGTGAGACGTGAGTGAGGTGAGGGTGAGGTGGGTGAACCCTAATTAGGATGAGATCCCCTGGTTTTCAATTCGATTTCGGCCAATTCTTGTTCATTTGAAACTGAAATCGATTTGAACGGTCCGTTTCGGTTTTTTTACTCAAAGTTGACTTTTTCAATCAACACGGTTCCTTTCGGATTTTTTTTTTTTTTTTTTTTTCATACGGTTCGAGGGATATTGATTTCCTTCAACACTTCATCCTAGTGGAAGAGCACGATGCGATATTGGAATTGAACATCAGGGACCTTGCGACAGAGGATAGACTGGTGTGCCCTTATGGAAAAAAAAAAAAAAACAGGCATCTTCTCCGTGAAATATGAGTACCATAGGGCCTACTCGGTGACTGCCCTAAGAGTAAGTCATCGCTCTACTTCTTCCACAACAATCCCGAAATTGTTATAGAAGGTTATCTAGAAGTTGGAAACCCTTTTTAAGATTAAAAGCTTTATGTGGAAAGCACTTCATAGGGCTTTGGATACAATGAAGGACTTGTTTAAGCATAGATCATCCCCTTCCTCAATCTGTCCAATATGCCATAACCATGAGGAAAGCATTGAACACATTTTCCTTCTCTGCCCATAGGTAGAGACCATTTGGTTTGGTGGGGTCCTAAACTACAAGATTAATTGGAATGGTATTACAACATGGGCTAATTGGCTCCTTGCTATTATCAATTCCATGACTAGCTCATCGACGGACGTGGGGAGGATGCTGTCAATGGTTGCTTTCACATACTGGTAGGTTTGGAAGGCCAGATGCAACTTCGTCTTTAATCAGCAACCAATCGCTTCGAGGTAGGTACTTCTGGTTATTTCCATTGTTGTTAGGGCTTTCGCGGGTGCTTCTCATACAATTGTTATAAGAGATCAGCCGAGCATCAATACTTCCTCCTTGCCTGCTTAGTGGTTTTCCCCAGGCCCTGCGTTCATGAAGATTAATGTTGATGCTAGTTAGACGACCTCTACTGTTTTGGGGTTTGCTGGTGCAATAGTTCGGGACTCCGATGGTAAGTTCGTGGCTGCTCGGAGGTTTAGCTTTCATGCTCAAGTGTGAAAGTTGTTGAAGCAATGGCCATTCTTCGAGGTTATCAGCTGGGCAACTCTTTGGGCTTCAATTCGGTGATCATTGAGTCTGATTCATTGGAATCTATCTCTTGCCTGAGGAATGTTCTAACAAATGGTAGTTGTGAGGCCTTTCCTACTTTGATCAAAAGCAAGAAAATTGGAGAGTCCTTCCAAGATTATCGCTGGTCTTGGATCTCAAACCAACCAACATGGCGACAAATCTTCTAGCGTCGCAAAGAAGTAGGGAGATGTGCGATTTCACTTAGGTCGATCGATCCCCATCTTCCCTTATTCATGTACTAAACAATGATGGGCTTCCCTGTCTTCCTTAAATTTCTGTTTTGTGGTAGTGCAAGGGGCAACGCATTAGCATAGGTTGCAGCGTCCCTTCAAAATGTACCTCTTTGCACTGACCGGCTTTATTTTCTTAGCTAGTATTGGCTTGCCTCTTTGTAGTCTTTGGTTGTAAGTTCTTTGGCATCTTTGCCCTGGTAATGCGATTTTTAGTTAACCAAAAACCAAGCAAAAAACATAAGTTGGAGCCAAGCTTTGATTAAATTTACTATATATTATAAATATTGAGTAAATGTGTAAAATTTAAAAGGTTTTTTATTGGGTGTTATAACATTTTCTAAGCCCACACCATTGTGGGCCTTTCTTTCACATTTAAAAGAAATTTGGGCTTGATTTTGCCATTACAAAAATAAATAAAAAATTATATTCCCTGATTTTAAAAAATGTAACATGACTTGTCACTTAATACTACAGTTTAGTGATATTCCTCCTAACCTATAAGAGAGAGGTCCTAGGTTCGTTTCTCGCTAAAGGGGAATATGAACCACATTATTATGGCTTACCCATTATGAGGCTTAGCCCACTTCCCCACTCTCTTAATGTAGATAATATTGTTTGTTTAAGAAAAATGTAACCTGACTTAAATGTTAAACCCTAACTATTGTTGTCCCACCACTTCTTTGCAATTGCATATTTGCAATATGAACTCTCTCTCTCTCTCTCTCTCTCTCTCTCTCTTATCCTCCCTCTTCTCTTCAGATCTTCTATTGTCTACGAGAGATGCAATGGCGATGAAAGACAAGAGAAAGTCAGTATACAAAAACAAAAAAAAAAAAAGCCTAGATCACAGCCTAGACAGGAGCGTAACTCTTACCTGATTTTGCTAGATGATTTGGCCTAAATTACTGGCGAAACACCATCGCCTAGGTTGATGTTTTAGAACAGTACTTGAGAGTACAGGTCTTCCGGGTATCCAAGAAGGTCCCATGTGAATTACAACCACTCGGTGAACTATGTTTGTTTGAAAATATTTTTACACACATCTTTACCTCCCGCACATCTCTACCTTTTTATTCTTCTTATAATTAGATTGAACAAATAAAAAATGAATCTAAGACTAAACTTAAAAAAGGGTGTGCAGAAATAAAAAAGGAGTTTCGAAAATCACTTCAAATTTCCTTTTAAGTCATGCATCTTATCTCTATACTCCAAGTTGCTGATTATGCCGGGTTATAACTTTTTCTGTAATGATATTATGGTTAACATAAAGATAAAGAATTAGTATTGCACTCCTAGGTTTAAAAGAATCAAAATTATATTTGAGCCACATTATTGTTAACCCACTATTATTCTAAGCCTACTCCCTCCCCTTAATGTAGATAATACCGTTTGTTCAAAAAAAAAAATCAAAATTCTAGTAGTGAAACCTATGTGTTTTGCACAAGCAATATTTTTTTATTTTTTTAACAAATGATATTATTTTTAAGAAGGGGGTGGGGGAGTGAGACAAGTCTCACAATGCACTAGTAATAATGTGGTTAAAATTCATCTTTGGCGAGAATTGAACCTAAGACATCTCATTTGCAAGTAAGGAAGAATATCATTAGACCGTAAACTAGGTGGCTGCACAAGCAATAGTTAAAGAGGAAATATTGATCACAACTCCTCGAACAAACTCATTACAGTATTACTCGTGGTTAGTTTAATTATCGCACACATATTAATCATAGATGTTTACATCCTATGATTCCATTAAATGATAAATCTTTGACTTTGTAACTAGCTAGTTAATAGATTAAACATCTGATTGTAAGTGGATAATGATTATTTCTTCTCCATTTCCCCATGAGTGACAACACCAACATGTATTAAAATGGATTGGTTAAGTATAATTTGTTTACTTCGTTACCGTAGGCTCCCGATTTCATATCTTCTTCCTTGTTGTCCACATGTTGTGTTTGTTTTCTATGGCAATTTCAAGTTCAACCATTGACTTGTATAAACTTGAAAATGTTAACATAAAAATTAAAAATATAAACTGACATTTGGCCCTCCATTCCATTTTCCAGGTGAGGTGACGAGAACATCGGCGCAAATTGTTGGTTGCCGACACTTTATTACAATCCCTCGCAATTTACAGCAAACCAAAACAAGGACCACCAAAAAGATAAAATGTACAGAGCAAAGAATTATGGGGTCGACAACTTAAAATGATGAAAATATTTTTACTACAATCTCTCGCCTTTTAATGCAATATGGTTTGTATTTTTAATTATTTATTTCTTCAAAAGCAAAACTAAAGTTATTAAAGAGATATGAGAAATTAAGGTGTGTCGGGCAGTCAAATAACATGTACACTTTGAACGCTCTCACAAAATAGTTGAATCTCCCTGTTAAGTAATCTTGATGAATTAATTTGGATGAAACAATTTAACCAAATTTTGAAAAACAATTCATAGAACTGTTGATCATGGTTGGTTTAAATAATTGAAATGTCAATTTTTAGACATAGGAAAAACCAAAGAAGTGTAAGGATTTTCGAACATGAGCTTGAGCTTGCCAATAGTCAAATCGTATCCACATTCAATTTCTTACCAATCATTCTTAAGTAATATTACCGAAGGACAAGGGGAAAAGACCCATCAGCTCTGAATGAATCTGGCTGGAATGTTGGCCATCATAGAGTTTTGCTCCTTTTTTTTTTATTTTTTTTTTTATTTTTTTTATATATATATATATATATATATATATATAAAAGAAGAATTACGTTTCCTTCATACTTCTTAGCAAATTGAGTTGTATTATTGCCTACATTTCAGTTCGACTTTCATGTGCCAAATCAAATCATTAATTTCTTCATAAAAAGGACAACAAAACGAATTTATAAATCTTGAGTCTTAACTCTTACATATGTTTATACATGGATACAAATGCGTTTACGTGCCATGTGTTTATACATGGATACAAATGCGTTTACGTGCCATGGTGATGTAATCAGAGACGGAGTTCAAATTTTTTACACTCTTTTTACGTGTGGCTTCTTTGTGACTTTTATCATTAATTGATACGTGATAATAAACATGACCATGCTTAACTTTATTGTCATGAAATTATTATAAACTTAATACATGTCAATCAATGATAAAAGCACCACACAAAATAGGTTCATAAAATTTAATCACTCAGAAGTGCATATAAAATTAAAGGAAAACTAATGAAAAGTTCAAAAAAAAAAAAAACTTTAGTTTAATGAAAAAAGACAAATAAAGGTGTAGTGAATAGTGCCAGAGAAAGGTAAAAATATGGTTTTTCATTAAAAATGAACAGTACCGAAAGTGTTTCATTAAAATTCTCTAAAATTAACCGGCACTAATTAAGATAATCTCGACGTCAAAGATCGAATGAAAAGTAGAATTAGCTACCTAATCTACATGCACCTTAAGATTATATTAATTAGGTCATAACGAAATGGTTTAAGTTGATTAATTACAACTATGTTGAATACGACAGTTAAGTTAGAAAAGCCGAGTCCTTTCATTAAGGAGTAAGGACACCCAATGAGACGATGTGACTGGTCAATTTAACTTTGGGTAATGCTAGGGAGATTAAATTTGGAGACAGTTTTGAAAATTAAGGATATAGAAGTTGATGATTGATTTATTATTTAAACGTTGATAAACGTGTTTATACTTATTGGTGACACATCATTTAGTTTACAAATTTAGTTTCTAAATTTAATATTCCTAACATTACTCTTTTAACTTGAAGGTTTTTTATATTTTTTGTGGGAACTTGATCATTGCATATACATAAAGCATGTGTGTCCTTGTGTGTGTATGTATTTACAATTTTTACATAGAACAAAAATTCAATTATGTGATAAACTCTTTAGATTTAGCATGGTTCATTACGGAACATCGCTAAATCATCATACTATTTTGTATCAAAAATTGCCGTATTATCAAGTATGAAGTGTTATATAACAAAAGGATTTGATAGTATTAGCAGTGAACTTCGTACAAATAAATTGTAAAGTATTTTATTGTGTCTTTGATCTAGGACTTTATTTTCCAACATTATGTTAAGGCTTCATGTCTAACATGCAACAAATCAGGTGCAATGCTTTTGGTTAGCCGCGAGGCTATGATTGAGGCTATAATTTATGAGTACTTATCTTTCATTATCTTTCAATATTGAAAGAGGTTAAAATTTTGAATCCCTTGAACTAATTGATATTCAACAAAAGGAAAAATAGAAAGACTTACTATAATAGCAAATGGTTGTATTACAAATACGTACAAATATATATATATATATATATCATTAAAATAGAAAATTGACATGTCAGATTCGGATTTGTTTACACAGAAAAATCACTTAGTATACGAAGAGCAAAAAATCTTCCACTATTTACTAGATATCTAACTATGGACGGTGCTACATACATTAAATTCATGCATTAAATTTGTACACCAAATGGTATGGCACATTCTACACTATATAAATTCTTATTTATTAGTCAAATTTCAACTTGAATCAAGGTACAAATTTGATTGGTGCCACATCACTTACTACAAACATTTCGTGTGCCCAGCATCATTCATCCAACAATATATTGATTAAACGAGAAGGTAGGATAATCGACTTTAATTGCGGACCTCAACAAACAATTGTCATCATCTATATAGACTAGGTATTGTTTTAGATTGATAGTCTTTTTTTTCCCAAGTTTTAAACCTGATGATGATATGGGCTAAGTTTCTTCTAGGTGAAGATAAAAGGACTATTCAATCTTTTTTTTTTTTTTTTTTTTTTTTTTTTTGGTGAACCATATTCAATCCTTTTGCTTCACTGTCATATTCATCTTTAAAACCCCTTTTTCCAGAATCTTATCCACTGCAAGCTGGAAAGAATTTGTCACATTGTTTTATTTTGTTCTTTTATATTTGACCGCATGATGATGAGAAAAGACAAAGTCCCAAGGTAAATCAGAATCTCCAAGTGGAAGGGTAAAAACAACAACTGACATCGTATAAGACTAACAAGAATCCAACGTTATGAAAAGATGAAACAAAAATGTAGTCAGGGAAATTCCACATAATAAACAAGCTGGATTAAGGCTCCGTAACTTTAATATATTGTTTAAACTCGGTCTGAACTGGAGAATGACTTGCATACAGTTGCAGAGCTAGAATTCTGTAATAATGGGATCATGAGAAATAAG